TCTTATTTTTATAATCATTACTGTTATCATTATCATCATTACCACCAGTTATTATTTTCTTTGATATTATCACTGTTATCACTGATGTTGCTATTATTACTATAGTTATTATTATTACAATTACATTTTTTCTACTGTTATAATCTTTTTATCATTATCATCATTATTATTATTGCTAATATCATCATCATTATTATCATTATTATTGTTATTATTATTATTATTATTACCATATTATCATTAACATTATTACTGTCATTATTATTTTTATTATTATTATTATTATTATTATTATTGTTGTTGTTGTTGTTGTCATCTTTATTATTATTACAATGATTATCATCACTATTGTTATTATTATTATTATTATCATTTTTATTGATATCAATAGTAGTAGTATCATTATCATTACTATCATCATTATCATCATCATCTTCATCATCATAATCATTATAATTATTATTGCTGTCACTTTTACCATCATTATTATTATTGTTATTATTTAATTATTGATAATAATAATCATAATCTTTATTACCATTATCTTCATCATCTATCATTATTGTTGTTCCCTTCATCATCATCATAATCATTAATAGTAGCAGTAGTACGCTTATCAGTGTAGTTATCATCATCATCACCATCATAATTATCAGCAGCATTATCAATGCTACTATCATTATCAAGTTTATTATTCTTTCTTATCATCAATATCGTTGGAATTATTATAATTTCTTTTATTACTATTATCATCATTATCATTTTTTTATTATTATCATTTTTATTATTATTATCATTATTATTATTACCAATGTTATTGTTATTACCATTATCATCATCATCGTCATTATTACCATTCTTATAATCATTATCATTGTTGCCATTATCTTTATTATTTTCATTATTATGAATGTCGTTACCAATATTATCAACATTGTTGTATTATAATCATTATCATTATTATTAGTAGTAATCGTACATATCATTATTATGATCATTGCTATTATTGTTGTTATCAGTATTATCATCATAAGTATTTTCATTTTTTCATTGTTACTATTTCTATTACTATCATTGTTGCTGACCTTATAATGCTTAATGTTATCATTATCATTATTTTTGGTACAATTATTATTATCATCGTTGCTGTTGTTATTGTTTTTACTGTTATTATTACTTGTATTATCATAATAATTATAATAATTTTTATTATTATGACCAATTGTTTATCGTTATCATTATCATTATTTGTTATTGATATTATTATTGTTATTATCTTCATTATTTGTTATTATTTATTATTGTTATTGTTATTGATATATTATTGTTATTATCTTCATTATTGTTATCTTCATTATTATCATCATTATCATTATTATCATTACTATTATCACTGACATTGTTATTGTTATTATCAATGTTATCATTAATGTATTAATGCATCGTCACTACTGTTCTGCTATCCTTCATATCATGTTTGAATATGTAGTTCTGTCCGCATGCATGTCTGTGCTGGGAACATCCGCCGAATCAGACGGACACCCGGTCGGCCATGACGGCTCCTGGGATTCTCGCTGCGGACGGAGGCTTTCTGCGAACGCCTCCCCCCGGGTGTCCGCTCCGTGGTTGCTTGCTTGTCTTCGGCCCATTTAGTTTTTTTCATTCTTTAAACATGTTTTGCACAGGTAATTCTTTCTCTCTCTCTCTCTCTGTGTGTGTGTGTGTGTGTGTGTGTGTGTGTGTGTGTGTGTGTGTGTGTGTGTGTGTGTGTGTGTGTGTGTGTGTGTGTGTGGTGTGTGTGTGTGTGTGTGTGTGCCCCTGTATCTGTCTCTTCAGATATTTGATAGGGGGGATTATATTCTAAAGAGGTTCAGCAAAAGATGCGCTTCTCTTGGTCTCGTAATCAACCCAATCAAAACTAAGCACATTTCCAGACCTCGCAAAACTACCTCGTATTCCAAGGTTAGGTGGACAAACTATGCACTAACTGCCGCCTATAAATATCTTGGAGTTATGGTGAATGCTCCCCACATCATGTCCCGCAATTGTCGTTTTGCCAAGGATATTGTTCAAAACGCCAAGGAACGTCGCCTCGAGCGTTTGAGACCATTGCGGTGCTTTAGCAACAGACGCGCAGGTGCTTCCCTAACAGTCCTAAGGTTGATGTATATCTCCCTTGTTAGGTCCATGGCAGACGACGCAAGCTCGATTCTTAGTGTGCTGCCACCGAGTGCCCTCAAACCCCTCGAGGTTTTACGGAACAGGGCCATGGGAAACATACTTGGATGCCCAATGACTGCCAAGAACAAGAGGGATTGGTGTACTAATTCCTGATATAGATCTTGAAGAAAGTGTGCATTCCAACTGGGCAAGCACAGCTGATGCTGAGACAGTTGCCACATGCCATGCCATTAAAAAAACATACTTGGACATCTGTCTGTCTTTACTGACAGCCAGGGTGCACTCCATAGACTCACTGTATATAATCCTGAAAACATGGAAACTATCAATATCATTCACCAATTTCTTAGACTATCTGAACAGGGTGTTCAAGTGTCACTATACTGGATACCTCTCATATAGGGATATCATGCTGTGGCGGGGTTGATCAATTGGCCAGATCAGCACGTTATGAAGAACCGTATTATCAAATGAAATCGTCATCAGCTGCCTTCGAGATTACGGGGGCCAGGTATAGCCCGGTGAAAGGATGAAGAAAAACGTACCTGGTGCTATCTGGCGTTATGAGAGTACTGCCGGAACAACAGTCTATATTGGACTGTCTCGGAGACCGCAGGTTGCCCTGACTAGGCTACACATAGGATATCATTTTTCTAAACAATATGTACAGGAAGCAGTTTTTGGGGACAAATCCAGTTTCATATCACCATTGTAAACTGTGCAAAGCCCTCTACATCTATAGAAGCACAGCCAGTTTGGATAGATCCTTTTGTATCTTACCCTGGCTATTTGCAGGACGTACGCTGCTCTGTAAATGAATGTTAACAAACCAATTCAAATCTCTTTCCCTCTCTCCCTCCCTTCCTCTCGCTCTCTCTCTCTCTCTCTCAGTGTGTCTTATCCATTCGCTTAGCTTTTTGTCATTTTGTTAAGCATAGATCTTTCCATACTTATTTGTGCACCAAATATTCTTCCTTTTGTTTTAGATGACCGGGATTCTGAACCAAAAGCCATTATTTTCTTAATATGCAAGCGATTTCTTTTATTCTTCAAAAGGTGACTATATTTACCAAATGTCTTATGTCTTCTACTTACCTCCTTTGCAGCATTATCATTTCCTGGCAAGATTTCGACTCCTCATGAAATTTAAGATCATTTGTCTGTACATGTTTCTTACAATTTCTGTTCTTACTTTGCTCAGTTTCACTCTGCCCTTTTCTCTTTCACTCATTCAACTTCGAAAATGTCATTTCTTTATCTTAAAGGACTCCCTTGAAGAGATATGGAGATAGCCTATCACCCTGTCGAATTTATTGACCAATACTGTTCTTGCCTGTCATCAGATTTTTTTGACCGTGCCATTGATATAAACATCTCTTTTTTGTTAACGCTGTGGCGGGACTTCCATGGTGGCACCCTGTGTGCCCCCCACCCCCACCCCAAAAGTCATTGACCTTTTATATATTAATATACAGTATGTAATGACTATGAATATATAATATTATTAAACCACAGCAAGATGAAAACATAAGCGTGTAACTGTACAATATAAATATTGAAGTGGGCAGTCTTAATTTTTGTTTCTTTTGGGCGGCCCCCCAGGTTTATTGTTGTTACCTCCTGTGCCCCCCACCAGAAAATTCTCTGGAGCCGCCCCTGGGCTAACGGAGGCAAAACTTCAGCTGATTCCGCAGGTTTTTCCTCCGGAACTTCTGCCTCGCCAGTCCAGGTGCTTTCCCTTCCCTCATCGGCCTGTATCGCTCTTTATCCCTTTCTTTAATTATCCGTGCTGGCACATGTGCACTTTGGGAAATGTTTGCACCTGAAAACTTTTGCTGGAAGCTGACATCAGAATGACGAAAGATTTCCAAGTAGATTTTGAGATGAAGACTGTCCCTTGCACATGCATTATGAGATCTTGTATCGCCATGTCCTCCTCTGGAGTACCTTTAGCCACGCTATTGGTCGCCGGAGTGGATTTTGCTGCATTGTCATTTCACTTTTATTAAGGAGGTAAAAGTACTCCGGGGATAAACATCAAATAATCTTATTAAGAAGAATTACGATGAGTGTTAAGAAAATGTAAAAGAATAAAAAGGAAAAAGAGAATCAGGTAAACACCAAAGGATATTTTACATATCTTTTAATATATTTATGTTACATGTATCTGCCTGTTACAAAGCGCAAGTCAGGTATGATAAACTCTCAATATTCACAACAAAGTAAAGAACTGGTGTTGAACTCTGAACATTCACCGACAGCAAAACTGAACCAAAAGTTCTCCTGCGCCGCTCTGCTTCCTCAGGCCTCGTGGGATCCCTCGGACTCGACCGCCGTCAGTCGCACTCCTTCGCCGTCAGGCACACTCGCGGAAACAGCGCCGAGAGCTTGCTTGAGTGAAGAGCACGTTTACCTCTGGTCAGACGAAGGCTCGGCTGACAGTCTAGAGTCGAGATCAACCTCCTTTCGCTGTCTCATCGCCCCCGCTTCCTCCGCCGCCTCCTCGCGCCTCTCGCCCTCGGCAACCTCTTCGGACGAGTCTCTGAACCACGTTCGGGTTTGTCACTTTTTTCAATGAGATCAATGGGTTGGCGTTTATACCGAAATGCACAACTGTATTAGAATAGCCAGCATGTTTCGCCCCGTTCGCCGTCTCACATTTTGGAAAGAAAGAAATACAATTTGTCTGTCCATAAACACGTTCATATTGCTGTTCGTGTGAGTGTTATTCACGTGTTCCTCAACACATGAAGAGAAAAATGAAGAGCGAGAAGCGCCTTTCCAGCGACCCTTCCTCGGCCACTTTCTTTAAAACACTACGTCTGCAGACCACCCGCCTGTAGTCGATTCAAGCGCAGGGCCGAGCAGGAGCAGGGCGCCGCCGCCGGGCGTCCCCGGAGGCGCCTAGTAGTGGAGGGCGAATCCCACCTGGTTGAACACGTCCTTCCGCGCCGGGATGCTCGGGCGCCGCGCGTTGCTTCCTGCAAGCAAGGAAAAGAGTGAGTGGGTCGCCTGCGTGGGCGCCTGGGATCCCTCCTGGCTCGGACGGGGCCTTCGGCAGGAGGGATTCGAGCAGGCTGGAAATTCCTACCTCCCCCCTTCCTCATTTCATTTCCCTCCCCTCCCTCCACCTGCACGGAGCCCATTGAGGCTGGCTGTCTCCCTTCCCCCTCCCACCTTCCTTCCTTCCTTTCCTCCATCTCTCATCCCCCCCCCCCCCTCCTCACCTGCATTGAGCCTAGTGAGGCTGTTTCCTCTCCTGCGGATGGGCGGGGCGGCGAGGTCCTTGCGCCGGCGCCTTTGCGAGGCGCGGGACGGGGAGTCTCCTTCGCTGGACGAGGCCGAGCCGCCGCGCCTCCGTCGCTGCTGCGCCGGCTGCAGGAGGGCGAGGCTGCCACGCCGGCTGAGGGGCTTTTGGCGGGACCTGCGGGGGATGGGAGAGGTCAGCGTCGGGTCGCGTGCCAGGACCTGCCTGGGCGGACTGCGTGAGCGCAGTCAGGCAGCGCCGCCAAGGCCCGTGCCCTTCGACCAATGCTACAAGCCCCACTGCCATTGGGACTGCTGCACCTGCCTCGGTTTCACTCCGGAGACATTTTAACATACTGCATATAACAAAATATTGCGAAATGTATAATGCTGCTGCTAACGAAACAAAACTACAGTGATAAGAGTGTGGAGAGTGATGATGGCGATGATGTTAGCAGGACCACACTATCTAATCGGCAATGTCAACAGCGCCATCTTCCGCGTCATTAGCACCACAACCGGCGCGCTGGAACGGCCTCTTCTCGTGCTGTTGCTCCCACTGGTCATCGACCAGTTTCATCCCAGTTCACGCTCCTCATTAGGAGGAATTCATGGAAATGACATGCCTTTTCCATCTCATTATCTGCGCCATCTTGTTCATCAGTTCACTCTCCCTTCACTGCCCAGGCAGTTCCCTCCTCAGAGCCAGGGCCCAGTGGAGGAACTTCTGCCTTGGCGAAGGGACAGGTTCGCCACTTCTACATGCACATGCACGGAGCTGAACACATGCCCTATTTTATGATTGTGCGCGTACGGACGATCTTAAAAGCACATGCTAACATATCCATGTGTGTGTGTGTGTGTGTGTGTGTGTGTGTGTGTGTTGTGTTGTGTGTGTGTGTGTGTGTGTGTGTGTGTGTGTGTGTGTGTGTGTGTGTGTGTGTGTGTGTGTGTGTGTGTGTGTGTTACGTACGTACGTACGTAACATATTGTGCATACATGCTGAGAGGTGTCACATTCCTGCAAGCGTTCGTGCTGGCGCGAGTTCTGACCTAGCCAGAGGAAGTGACCGCGCCCCCTGAGCGCGCAGAAGCGCACTGACCATGACTCCCACAGACGTCATACAGAAGGCTGCCCCGCATTCCAACGCCACTTTGTTCATAGGGTCAGCACACACACACACACACTGGCACTCGCAGGCTGAAGGCGCAGG